CCTTTTTTATATATCTGGAGTTCAGGTGTACAGATCAAAGAAAAAGATGCATTGTCAATGAAGAAAAGGTATACCTGTGCTTATATCTACCATTACATGGGGGAAGTTGCAGGAAGCAAGAGGATAGGAAGTCAAGATGATCATTACATATATATCCCAGAATATTATATTTGAGCATGAGTCACATTGAGTATGTATTACATCCCCATCCATTCCATCTGTAATTATTCCCCACTTTAAATGCAATCCATTATTCCCTAACCTTGTCCTCATCTTCTGCAGATGTTCCTAAACATATTCAGGTATTATTTTCTTCTTTCCTAGGAAATAAAATGTCCTCTTAAGAAAATCAGTATCCACAAATACCTCTGGCTATAATGTCACAAATGCCATTGCTTTTAGCAATATTGGAAGTGAAGAGAGCGGGTCCTTTCTCTACAGCTAAAGTAGGAGGAGCTGGTTAAAGCTTATTGCAAACTGTTATTTTGCTGTTTTCAAAATGTCAGCTCCATTTTCTTTGCAATAAAATAAAGAACAGGGACATAACATGTAACATTCTACAAGAAACAAACAAGCCAAAATAAATGGCATAATGCAAAAGAAGTGTGCACGTGGACACAATTAGAGCTTTGGCCCATGTGTCCATTGCATATTGAAGAAAACTGCGTACATGAAGGTCTAAGAGACTTCTGAAGTTAATTTGCAAAATAATAATAATAATAATCAAGGTCATTGAGAAAGGCTCTCTATTATCAGCTGCAAACAATAATTGTTGATTACCTAAAAATCCAACCAAAGTAAAATTATATATCCTCGTAAAGGTAAAAAAAAATCAGGCCGCAGGTAGAGAGGTGGTGTGGTTATAGATAAGGTTATAGATAAGGTGTGGTTATAGATAAGGAAATCTGCCCTGGCAAATTATCATGCTGGAACATGTTAGAGAACATGTTCTTCGTAAGCAGCCTTTTGAATGAATCAATCACTTTTCACCAAATGGATCTGTCAAAAGCTGCTTTTAGTGGAAATGAGTGTTCATGCCACTTGTTTGCTGCTTGTATGATCCAAGGTTTCATCATTGCAGGATCTATAGATCACTGCATGCAAAGGGTCCTTAGAATGCTGCTTTTTCTGTCTCCCAACAAAAAAGTAAACAAAAGGATTGAGGCTGCTGTTGATTAAATTAAGCAAGAAAAAGCTATGAATCATGGTCCAGTTTAACTCCATTGTTGGCTGCATGTATTGCATCAGACATACGATCTGTTGAGGCACAGCCAAGATAAGAAACAGAATGACTGTGATAACAACAGTACGATAAAACCGAGCTGGAGATTTTGACTGTGGGTATCTAGATACTTTGATAAACAGGCTGAAGCTACAAAAGATCATAACTGGCAAAAATACCATGAAAACGATGACAATGAATATATTTGCCGGGTGTGAAGCTCTGGAAGAGATGTATTCCTGCCAACATATATATTCTAGTCCCACCATGATACAGGAGAGGCCCCACAGGACCACACATAGTATGGTGGAAAGATGCTTTGGCCGATTAAAACGATAGCAGAGAGGGAAATAAGTGCCCACATACCTCTCCACGCTAATTGCTGTCAACAGGAAAAAACTGGTATTGAATCCCAAAAACGTCAAAATATCAAATACCAAATAGAAATTCGAGTCCAAAAGAGTGTCTTCCCATGTAACTAGATGAATAACAAAGTATATGATGTGACAGAAGAGGACAGTGAAATCAGCAATGGCTAAATTTAGCACATATACTGTGTATTTAGTCTTTTTGATTCTACAACAGAGAAACCAGAAGATAGCTCCATTGCTGAAAAGTCCCAAAGCAAGGACGGGTAGAGCAACGTATAACAATATTATCAGAATGTCATCTTCTCGGAATAAATCTTGGGTCTCATTTATCTTGGCTTCGTGAACAGTAGGAGCGGCCTCTGTGATCAAGACATGTATGGAGTGGCCAGTATTCTTCTCTTCCCTGTAAAAATAGGAAGAACCCCACAATTATTAAGACTGTCGAACTTTGTATTGCAAATAAAAG